TGATCAACATTTTCCTAGACTTTTGTTTCAACATGCCTTGTTTTCTTTCTAAACACTTCCACAAATTTACAAAGTTCCCCTTTCTTTTTGCACATTCCTCAACTAACAAGTTATTCTGTTCTCCATTAGCATCTAAGCAAGTAATGGCTACTTTATATTCTACAATGTTCCTATCTACTTCTTCTGTGAAATTCTTACTCCAACCTTTAAGAAACCTCTTGACAACTTTGAATTTTTCCTTCAAATAGTATCCCTTCCATCCAAATACCTTAGTTGAATTCCACACCTTTATGATTTCCTCCCTCAAACTTGGTGTATCCAGCCAAGCATCAAACTATTTGAATAGCCTTGGTCCCCAATCCACTTAATGTGCTTAAGAATGATAGGACAATTATCTAATGTGGAGCGACCTATTCCTTATTGTTTGTAGTCACTCTAATTCAATAGCCAATCTTTTGATGGTAAGAATCGATAAATCCTACTCATAGATGCCCCATTTACTTCATACCAAGCATACCTTTTACCATGCAAAGGCAAATCAACAAGATTCAAGTCTCTGATAAGATCTTTAGATTCTCTCATTTCTGTTGAGGACCTATTGGCCCTCGCTCTTTCTTGTCTACTCTTAACTACATTAAAATCACCCATTAAACACCAATTTCCTCTAGTGCCTAACACTAGAAATTTTAACTCTTGCCATAGAGCCTTTCTACTAGTAATGTTGCAAGGTTAATACACATTTACAATGTGAATAGGCACAACATCTTTTCCCTAGAACCCAAAAACACCTATATAGTTTTCCCCTTCATACACTCTATCTTTTTTAAAAACTCTTAAGTTCCATACACAAATTAAGCCTCCTAAAAGGCCATTTGATGGTTTAAACACCCATTCAAATTCATCATGACTCCATAGAGCCTGGCACAATATTCTATCCATCATTTCTAATTTAGACTCTTATATTGCAAGAAAATCTACTTTCTCCTTCATCACTAGTTCCTTTAATTCTCTTCTTTTCTCTCTTTTCCCCAACCCTCTAACATTATATGAAAGAATAATCATTGGGCGAGTTCACTGATCTACTTTCCATTACCTTTGCTAATTGCTTTTACTCCTAATTTAGCCACTCTATCTCTCTTCTCCATGCATTTGATTTGTTGGCACATGTCTAATTCCTCACCTTGGGCAAACACACTAATCTGCTTGGCAAATTCCCAAATTTCCTTAGCTTTATATTCCCCCCCCCCCTCTTGCAAATCTCCTTATTTCAGTTTATAATGCCACTGTTGCCCACAGATTCTCTAACCACCACTTTATTCTAATTAGGCAAAAAAGTTGGTAGATTTTCTTTTAATTGTTGTGTAGCTTTACACTTTTCACCCTTGTTCCTCTTATGGAGTATTGCTGAGGCTACTTTGTAGATTGCGACGCAAGATCTGGCTCTCCTCCTTTTGTGATTCTTTGATTTCTTCCTTCTTTCTTATCTTTCTCTCTAGTTTGCGGCTCTTTCCAAATCACTGGCAATCCCCTCCCAAAAAGAATAATTACCATCTACCTCCAAACCTTCTGACGTGGTTGGGCTTCAATTTGGTCCCTCCATATCATCTGAAACTATCTCAGATGTGAATTGATTACATCTCACTAAAAGGTCTTTCTCAGCATTTTGGTTTTCACCACCCATGTTTACAAGAACTTTCTCCATATCCTTTTCCTGAGTCGGCCCATTAACAGATTTAGTGATCTCTTCATTATTGGGCTTAAGTTTTGCCTACAAGCCCATGTCCAGCATCCATACCCTATTCACCAATATTTTGAAATGGAGCAAATCTCTTCAAATAATGATGTGCCGCCAAGCTATCCTTTACTTTTTTAGTAGATTCATTAATATTTTCTTGGATATCCCCATTATTCATCAATTGAGATTCTTCCAACACATTCTTTCAGTTGCTCTCGTCAATTCCAAATCCATGTGTTTGGGTTTTCGAATTTTGAACCACCATCCAATCTATGAGTGCCACATCTTCTTCTTTCTCCCTAGGCACCCCAATCTCCATGTCACTAAATAACTTTTCAACTTCCATATCTACTCCTTTTGATGCTTCATCTTCTACACTATCAATCTCCCAAGTTTCCTTAGACCCAATTTCAGAATCACTTGGAAAATCTGGAATGAAACCTGATTTGATGGAAAATAAACTATTGGAGAATTCTTCTTCCTCCACTTTGATATTGTACACTGTTCCATTGATGTTGACTTTGATCTTTTTTGAAATGGAATCCATGACTGGTGTGCATATAAGGAATCTTGCAATGTCAAAATGTTTCTTCTTGCTTGTGCTTTCATCTAAAGTAATGAACTTTCCCCAGATACAACTAAGAGTGGAAAAAAATGTAGACCCCCAAGAATGTAGTGGAACACCTGTGCATCAAATCCATATAAAATGTTCATTTGCCATCATGCTAGGGCTTCAAGGTCTGATCTCCTCGAACCATTAACCTAGCTAGTTCGAAACATTCTCCACTAAGTCCTTCAATTTATCTTTATCTTCACTCTCCAGGAGAACTAGCTTACCTCCCATTGCCTTCACCTTGCATGCAAAACACCTCTCCATATAAAATCTCTCCTATATGTATGGAACAATTTCTACAAAGTGTGCTTGGCCCACATAACACCCTTGTAACCAACTATAGTCCTCCTCTTTTACACTAAACTCAAAGCCTGTCCATTCCTAGTTGTTATTTTTCTTTTGCCATATTCTTTTATTAGGCTTTCTTGAGTACATTGCCCTTGAGTTTCCTCTGTGCACTGTCATGGGTCTGGTGTTTCTATTACCTCTTAGGGCATTTGCATAAGATTGATGCGGTACGACCTTTCTACTGTCTCATCTCCTTCTTGAGCCTCTTGGGAACTAATTGTTTATCAGGCGACTCTCGGGATGGATTTGCACACCATTGTTTGGTTTTCTTTCCTTCTTACCATCTCGGTCTTCTTTAAATCTAGGGATGTTTGCCTTGAGTTTTGGGTTACCAATCCAGATCTGATCTAGTTGGCATTCCAACTCTTTCTCGTCCTTCACCTCTAGAAATCGGACAAAACCAAACGTTCTTCCAAATCTGTCCCTCTTTTTTGGGCTGTAAATAGAGTAGATTCTCCCATTTTTTGAGAAGAGTATCCACAAATCTTCATAGCTCCATTCCTCAAGAAAGTTTGTGAAGAAAAAAGTTGTAGCTTGGTTGTACATCTTCCAATCATATCCTTCAAAACTTTGTCTCCATCCCTCCTAGCTGATATTAATATCACCTCTGCACCTTCGTACCTGATCAATTTGGCTACCAAACACTGATCTCTGTGAAGTCAGCCTTACCAATGATTCTCTATGTCCTCTACTTGCTCTCATTCTCTCTCTTCCTTTCTCTCTCATCTTCGCTCTCTCTAGTGGATCTATCTAATTAATATCCTTGAATAGTAGAATCTAGAATGTGTACTATCCTTGATTATAAATTTTTGAAA